TCACTGAGTTGGGCCCACGTAAACCTGACGGCTACCACCATCTTTACTTACGTATATGTTTATCCTCTAATTAGGTCGGCGAAGCAAAGCAATAATTCTTTAGAAAAAGCTTTTTTTTTTTTGGAAATTAAGGGTTTAGAAAAAGCTTCAAAGGAAGAAATATGAGATATTAACTCAAAGTAGCGAGAGATTATTGGGTTCGAACACTGAAAATAGCTTACGTTCGGTACTTCACAGTACCAAGCAGTACTGTGATGTACTGTGTAACGAGCAGTACCGAGCTTAGTAACAAGTAAGAGGCGATGTGGCGCATTTTTATTGGGCTCCGAACACATCCGATGTCCGAATCCAATAATATGCCCAAAGTAGCATCCCATTTATATGAGAAAAAAAAAGTTAATTTTATGAAAGGTAATATTGATGGCTTTAATTTTTTATGCTAAAATTTGACGGAATTTAATTTTAATTTTTTTTTTAGAAAAGCGTGACACGGATGCAGAATACGGCTTCTGCAGAATATTACATGTGGGTGACCTTGGTCTTCTGTGGGCCCTATTTCCATCTGAGATTTGGTAGTTTTGAATTGACATTTTTAATATGCCCGGTTCCCCTTCTACAAATTATTTTTTTGTTCGTGCTTATAATCAGATGTGTCAATACTTGGCATGAACCAAAATCTGACCCAGAATTGATCCGAAAAATTAAGGGTAGGGATGTCAAAAATGGACACAACACGAAAACCCGGCTTGAAATTGATCCGAAATTTTAGGGTTTGGGTCAACTTATTTGGAAAATGGGTCGGATTTAGGTCTACAATTTTGACATGTTTGAAATTCTCGGTCAAATTTGGGTCAACCCGAAAGCATGATTTAACCCGGATTTATTCAAGGCTCCAAGCGGTGAGATCATGTGAACTCCTGAGATGAGTCGTCTAATTTAGGTTTATGGCATACGCTTACGCTCTATTCATTTCTATGTGTATATGCTTTGGCCTGCTATTCATTTCTATTCTACGTGTATCATCTCTCGTTCGTCAGCTCTCCCCTCTCCTCTCCTCCATCTTCAACATTTTGAGATCATTTTGAGATGTTGTCTAATAACAAAGATGATAAATAAATGTATAAATGTAAGAAATGTGGTGCATAATATCTATGTGATAGCAAAAATGACATTGATAATTTAAGACAGCACTTTCAAAATTGTAAGAAAAGAGATATGCAGGATATAGGCTAGCTTATGTTGCAAATAACCTCTAGCTCATCTATCTCTATGGCTAATTGTAAGTTTGACTCTGTAAAATTTTGTGATTTATTTATTGCATGTATCATCATGCATTATTTGACCTTCTAATGTATTGAATGGGTTGGTGTTCGAGCACTTTTGTCATATCTTCATTGAGACTTACCGAAGTCAAGAGAAGCTGTATGATCAAAATTAAGAATGCAAATAGCATGACCCTTAGAGTTTAGAAGACAAACATAAATATCTTCAACGGCGGTCTCCGTTTTGGGGCGAGAGAGGACCGAAAGGGAAAACGAAAGCCGTGCTCGAGGCCGTGAGTCACGAGAGAGGAGCAAAGGGAAAAATAAAATATATAGGCCGTTTGGGTCAAAGGAAAACAAGTCGTACGTTTAGGGGACGATCTCCGTTTAAGAGTTATTGTACACAAGGAAAAAAGGTCTTAGTCAAGATATTCCAACAAGATGAAACTCTACTTTCACAGTGCTTTATAGTGCTATATACTATCTAAGGGATTTCCTACATCTGGAGTTGGATGATTCCAATTACAAAGCTTGTCCTACTATTGCATAATAGGAAAAAGTAGAAGCAATTTGTACCTTTCTAGCTCCTTTATTTTGCTAATGGCTATTGTTGATTTAATTATCTTGAAATAAGAAAAACTATTTTATATTAGGAAAATTTGGAAGTGGCACTAATATTTTTCTAAATAGTAAATATACTTAAATTTTATTTTTTTTACACGCTAAACAATTCCTTTTTTTTTTAAATTAAACAAATCGGGTTTCCCGGTTATATCATTGACCCAAAACATTAATCGGGTCGGGTCCGGTCAAAGTAAGGCGGGTTGATATCGGGTTTGACCCGAATCCGATCTCGACCCGTTGACCCTTTTTGACACTCCTAATTATGGGTTCAGATTAACCCATTTGCTAGGCAGGTCAGGTTCATGCTTCGTATTCTAATTATGGATTCAGACACGTTGCCTTAATTAATAATTAAAATAATTTTAAAAAATGTATATTTAATATTCTCATAACGACTTTCAAAGTTATTTACTTATTTACGTGCTTTAAAATTTATTTTGAAAAGTTATACACATAACATCAAATCATATATATTTTTATAAATTTTATGTGTATGTAAATAGATAAATAAATTTATGTATTTATATATATCTTATTATTTGTTCGGGATGACTATAGCTTTTTATAAACATAATTTTGACATTGTTATGAAAAAATAACTTTTTTTTTTAAGTTCTTATAGAAATTAATTTCCTATCATAAAAATTTCTTAGGAATAGTAATAACAAAACATTAAAAAAATATTCTCAAATAAAGCCTTACTAAATCATTAAAATAATTATAAAATTGAAAATTTTAACTTGAAATTTTATTATGAATTTTAAAATATGATGAATAGAGAGAATATAATACATACAAGGGATTTTTACATACATAACACTTAAAAGTTTCTTATTTACTCACTCAACACCTAAACTTATCTATTTACAGACATACCACCTAAAACTTATTTCACTTTCTAAAATATCATTCCTTCTTCTTCTCCTTCAAAATTCGCCCGATACCGCACAAACCGTCCAACTGCTCCCTCTTTTTGCCTCTCACATGCTCCCTGCTCCCTCTCTTCGGGAACAATACTAAACAGATGCTTAGATAGATCAACCGGTTGGCTCCCCTCCAAGCCTTGATCCGCCATTACCCCTCTCTACAAACCTCTTCGTATAAACATGCATGTTCGCTAGCCAAACAAAATAGCTGACTTAGTAAAAGCCTGACACATGCTCATATTCTAAATCACTCGCATACCTGCTTTGCTATCTTTAATCTAAATATGATCAGAATTCTTCCCAGACCAAACGATGCTCTAGCTCTTAGTAAGAGATTAAGAAAGAACGCTCCTTGATAGCAGAAAACATGTCGATTTTGTAGGGAAAAACAAGGTTGGCCAAACTTAGGTAGCTGATCCGTGATTTCCCAAGTTCGAGGCACAATGTGATGACTGGAAGAAAGAAAACGTTCAATCTGAGCGGGAAAAGGAGTAGCGAGCCGAACACCATTTCCGAGAGCCAAAGAGAGGGAGCAGGCGGATGGTTTTCACGAACAAAAAGATGAGTTTCACGCGTGAAGGAGCCAGTGTGTGAGGTATCAGTCAGGTTTTAACGGAGAGGAAGACAGAATGATATTTTAAAAAGTCAAATAAATTTTATGTGGTATTTGTGTAAATAGATAAGTTTAGGTATTAGATGAATAAATAAGAAACTTTTAAGTATTATGTATGTAAAAATCCCTACGTACAATTAGCATTTTGATTTTTGAATGCCAACACATAATTCTAATTTCTAACGGGTTTTTGGATGAGCTGTGCTTTACTCTGAGTATGAGGTCATCAGTTGCGCGCTCGCGCCATTATGTTCACATGATGGCCCTAATCTTGATGCCACCCAGCCCCTTACGTGCGTGCATTACATTTTGTAGTTTATTTTGCCCAAAGCGTACTACACGTGATCAGAACAATGAGCACATCCTGTTCTCATCCTGGCTTTATACTGTACTATATTTAAAGCAGCATATTAAACCCATGCATTTTTTGCCAACTTAGTTCTTCTTATGAATCATCAAATTGATTAACATATTAGTGATTAAATAAAACAAAATTATAATTATAATTTGTGAATGAATTTTTTTTTTTGAATATTTTGAAGCAAAACGTATCCGGATGGGGTTCAAAATCTTTGAATTTTCATTAAAATTATTAAAATTAGTGTAGTATATAATATTATGATTTGTTATTATTGTGGTGAAATTTTGGGAAGATTAAGGGCAGATTTTATTTTCTAGTGATTTAAAAGAAGTCATATATAATATATAAATTGTATATCTTTTTAAGTTTTATTATATTTATGTATATTATTAAAATTTTACTAAAAATATTTTTGTTTTTTATTCATTGAAAGTATAGTTTCATTAACACTTAAAGAATTAGTGTGATAGTGGGCATAGACAATATAGAAGTGAAAATTGATATTTATATGCTCAAAAAGCTAATTAAGAATCCGTTTGGGATAGTTGTTATTTTTTGTATAGGAGAATGTAAAACTATTACATCGAAATTATTATTTTTTTAAGTTTCCATAAAAAATAGCTTCGTATCCCATAAATTTCTCGGAACCAATGATAAAATAGTAGCCAAACAAAAATATGGTTGCGACATGAAGATCAAAGAAGCAAAATAAATTGTCTCAAATAAACAGGCCCTTAATCTATGAAAGAAATCACCTAATAGTAGCATATATTAATTTTAATTTTAGCATAATAAATATTATGATTATTATATTTATGTTGAAATATGTATAATATGTTCTAATCAAATATTACACTTAAATTAAAATAAATAAAAAATTTACCCTTTTTTTAAAATAAATCTCATCTATAATGATAAAAAAAAAGTTTATATATAAACAAGCAAATAAAGCAATAAAAATTAAATAAATATTATAAATTTTTTACTATAAATATTAGATATATGGCAGCATTTATATGGTAATATAATAATTTCAATAATATCAGCAAAATTAATAATTCCACAGCTTAAAAAAAAGCGGCACTTTTTTTGGTTGGGAAGTTCGATGAATCAATGGAAAAACCACGAAGCCAGCATTGCTCTCTACGGTTCTCTCTCATCTCTTCTGCCTTTACAATTCTTTGATTTAGCCTTCAGAGATAAAAAGCCTTCTTACACTTTGATTTAGTCTTCAAAGAGAAGGAGGTCCCATGCGCATGAACCATCCTTTCCACTACTCCTTCAAAAGCTCCAAACAAATAGAGAAAGGACTTGTAAAAAACACCTCTTTTCCTTTCTCATTGCCTTCCAACAACACAAAAACCCTGGTGGCTATCCCACTAAGCAAGCAGAATCCCACCATAACTTCTTATTAAGGGAAGAAAGGAGCCACCTTTGATGGAGGAGGAGAAGAAGGAGGCAGCAATGGCTTCTCAAGGACTCAGCAAGCCATGTATTCTTGTCATTGGTACTAAGAGTTCTCAATCCTATTAACCTTTTATATTTCTTTCTGTATTGAATGGATTGATGAAGTTTTCTTTGTTGAACAGTGGTTGCGAGTGTGGAGAGGTTTGCTTACAAGGGGGTTTCATCCAACCTAGTGACTTACCTCACCGGCGGCAATGTCAAGATGAGCGCCTCGGCGGCGGCGAAGACTGTGAGCAGCTGGAATGGAGTGACGTCTATGCTTCCTCTTATCAGCTCGGTGCTTGTGGATGCTTACTGGGATAGATATTCGACTATCACTTCATCTTCCCTGCTTTACATTGTGGTGAGGGTTTATATAATAATATCTCTCAGACATTTTTTTTATAGTCGATTTGAGAGACAAATCTGTTTTAACTTATGCTATGAATTATTTTGTATGAGTTGAATTGTTTCATTTGTAAGAAAAAGTTCATGCAGGATTGATATATTGTGTGAAAATTAGCAGAGACAGAGAGCTATCTAAGGAGTCTGCGGTAAGAAAAATGAAAATTTGATGAATTGTCTCATAATCCTTATGTAATCTACTATGCTTTGGCTAGATTATGCACAAGCTACATAATTTTTATTTTCCTAACTATCAAGAAATCACTTAGAAATGGATTGGTGGGTAAAGTTTGATCTGATCTCTTGAGGGGAATAAGACCTCGATTGCCAATAGAATTTGGTGTAAGCCAATTGCGAAGAAGCTGGGAATTAGCACTTAGCTAACTTCTTGTTATTTTTTGCTATGAAAGTGATTTGTTTATTCAAGTATTGGTAATGAGTTGCTTTTTCAAACCTTGATGTATCATAATTTTATTTTGTATAATGGGCAATGAGTAACGAAAAGCTTTTGAGAGCGTCTCCAGCCGTACGCCTAACACTTGTTTGGTGTCACTGGTTTGCTCCATTCGATCGCCAAATAAAACGCCATTCGCGTGAGGGTGAATAGTGCAACGTAGTGTTCACACGTTTTTTTTTTTTAATTCCAAAAATTAGGTTTAGAAAAAAGCATGAGAAAGAATATACACAAAATATTCTTTTTTTTTGTTAGAAAATAGAGTTTGATTGGAGACGAGTAACTTCATTTTGATGTATCACTGTATTTTGGAGTGAAAATTGAGTTTTTAGGTTGGAGAGGCCCGGAGTCTAGTTAAGTGTTTATTATTTTATGTTTTAAATCATTGTCATGTTTTTATTTGATTATAAGTTTTTATTATTTAATTTTTTTTTAAAAAAATAGATGTTTGTAAATAAAATTTTAAGGTATGATAATTGTAAGAAAATTATTATCTAATTTTTCAAACAGAATTGCTACTAGTGCACTATCTTTAGAGCTACGGCCTTGTGCTTTACATTTTTTTCATTTATTATATTATTTTTTAGGGACTTGTGGGATTGACGTCATGGGCATTATTAGATGCATGGATGCCAATCTATACACTGTTTCTTCCACTCTACTTGATCTCAATAGGCCAAAGTGGATATAATCCATCCTTACAAGCATTTGGAGCTGACCAATTGGAGCTTGATGAGGATTGCAGAGAAGAGGAGAAGGCCAACAAGAAGAGCTCATTCTTTCAATGGTGGTACTTTGGCATATGCACAGGGAGCCTCTTAGGGAATTCAACCATGTCTTATATCCAAGACAATTTTGGCTGGGGTCTCGGCTTTTCTATCCCTGCAGTAGCCATGGCTTTATCTGTGACATTTTTCTTGTGTGGCTCTCGTTTTTATGTCCACAAACAGACCAAAGTTCAGAAAAAATCGCTTGATGGCATCATCAAAGCTGCAATGGCGTATTTTTCAAAATTTGTTTCTCCAAACATCTCCTTACCTTCACAAAATGATGAGTTTGTTGAGCTCGAGTAAGTTTTATCTTGGATTTTCTTCTAAAATCACATCAAATTATTTAAGAAAGCCATTATATTCCATCTTCTAGCTTAAATTCTTTGCTAATTAGTGCATCTGACATAGTTATGATTCTCTTTAACTACCCCGTTGAAAAATTCCTCAAAGATACACATGTAGAGTGAAAACATTCCAAGAATCTCAAACTCAAAAGTTGAGCTCTGAGATTGGAGTTTAAGAATTTCAATGGAAGAACGAGTACTTAATCCTTAGTAGTTATCGCACTCCACAAACATTCAAAACAATTTGACCTTTACCAAGCTTTATATTTGATACATGTTCTCTCTGTGTAGATTACAACAGAAATCGCTTCGAGAAGACTTTGAAGATTCAAAAACATCAGATGCATTTGTTCTATCTATCGACAAATCTCCAGGCATTGCAAAAATGATTCTAAAGCTACTGCCAATATGGATAGTGCTTCTTATGTTTGCAGTAATATTTCAGCAACCAGCTACATTTTTCACAAATCAAGGCATGGTAATGAAACACAACATTGGCAGGAGCATTGTAATCCCTCCTGCAATGCTTCAGAGTGCAATAACTATATCAATTGTAATGCTGATGCCTCTATATGATAAACTCATAATCCCCTTATCTCGCTTGATAACACGAAATGATAAAGGCATTACTGTGCTTCAAAGGATTGGAATCGGTATGCTTCTTTCAATTGTTGCCATGGTGGTGGCTGCTTTTGTTGAGATGAAAAGGCTCGAAATTTCAAAGAGAGAAGGACCATTTGAAGAACCAGATTCAATGAAGAAGCAGCTGAACATTTTTTGGCTGCTGCCACAATACATTCTATTAGGAGTTTCTGATATATTTACAGTGGTTGGGATGCAGGAATTTTTCTACAGCCAAGTGCCGAAGACTATGAGAACAATAGGGATTGGACTCTATCTCAGCGTGTTCGGTGTGGGAAGCTTTGTGAGTGCGCTGCTGATATCAATGGTGGAAATGTTCACTACTAATTCTGGGAAGGATTCGAGTTGGTTCTCGAACAATATGAGGGAAGCTAAGCTTTACAATTACTACTGGCTTCTTGCTTTGCTGGCCTCTTTGAGCTTCTTCATGTTTGCTTCTGTGTGTAAATATTACGGTGATGGAACTTCTGCTGATGCTTCTAACGGAGATACAGAATGATTAGCAGCAATTCTGTTCTGTCTCATAAGTGCATAAAGCTTTGATTCTTTGAGAGTGCTTCTTCCTCTGAAAGAGATACAAGATGAGCAAAGATAGATATCTGATCTATTTGATTAAAGTTTCGTTTGGAACGGCTTTTTTATTACTTCTTAAAGCAGTTTTCTAGTACAAAAGTTTTAATTTTTGTACTAAAAACTGCTTTAGGAAACAATAAGAAAGCCGTCCCAAAACGACCTAAATGCTTGTGTATATTTTTTCCATTTTAGGCTGATTTGACTGTATTAGAAGGCTGCCATTGCTTCTGAAGGAGATAGGGGATGAGCAGTTGTGTTGCTTAGTTTAAGTTCTTGTACTTTTATTTGTTTTTTCTTAGTTTAAAGTGGTTCATTTGGTTGTTTTGAAAAGCAATCCATAACTTCTAACTTGCACTGGAGAAAAATTGTAATTTGTGATAGTTATATCCATCGCAAATTTAGTCAGAAAGACCAAATTGTAACGGATACTAGCTTTACAAAACCAATCTATTCGGTTGCAAATATCACTTGCAACGAGAACTTGTTGCAAAGAGGTTGATCTACTTAGTTTCAGGCGGTTCTTAATTTACCACCAGTGCCATATTTGTTGCTACATTTTCCAATTTGTACAGCTGCAATTTCAAACAATCATGTACACATTTTATTCAGTTCTACATGATGAACAATTTCAGACGAATTCTCAACCATACAATTCAATGCAAGATTCAAATCGAATTATTACTCAGTCATATCCATTTGATTTTCATTTCACAAACATGCTGATGCAAATATATAGTTAGGTTTTCATTTCATAAACAAACTTATGCAAAGATAAAGTTGTTTTAGTTATAAAGATAGAAATAGTTTAGTTCAAAATTTATAATTGTTGCGTCTTGGAATATTTGCAACGACAATATGTCATCAAAAAATCATCTTGATTGGACACGAATATTGATGTGAATATCAGTCAAAAGCCTAAAAAATTAAATTATAATCATTTGAACTCCAATTTCTGCAAACTTATAGTCAAATTAATCATCTCAAAGAGACGAATCCAGCAACACCAAATTCAGCTCAATCAGAGCCCAAATGAGCCAAAATCAAACAACCAAAACACAAATAGAAGCTTCAAAGTACTAATTGGATGACCAAATAATATCCAAATATGACATACTTATAGTCAAATCGAGCGGCCCGATGAGATGAATCCAACAAGCCCAAGATTGTTGAATTCTAACATCATTAAAGCACTTAAATGCTTGATATATGATCAATGGAACTAATACCAACCGTCTGATGGAACACTACCAAACTTCCCTTGATCTTCTCCATATTTACTAGCCATGTTACTCCTAGAAAACTATAAATAACCCCTCATTCTTTACATGATGGGGGAGGGAGAAAGGGACAAAACTTAAGAGCTCTCTTGCTCCTTCCATCCAGCTCTACCACTATTGGATTTCTTGCTGACCACCGTCTCCCATTGACTATGGTCATTCCGACCACTGTCGCCTGTTGACTATGGTCCCTCCGATCACCATCGCCTAACAACTACGATCTCTCTAACAACCATCACCTGCTGACCAAGGTTTTGAAAACCGGACTGGCCGGTTCAACCGGTTCTATCGTGAACCGGTCTGGTGGCCAGTCCGATCCAACTTCAGAACCACTAAAATCCTAATGATCAAACGAACAAGCCAACACTCTCTTAAGAGTAGCTATCATGCCATTCTCCAACTATGTATTATATGCAGTAACTCAACGCCCTCCCCCGAGCAAGGGCATCATTTATAATAACCCACCAATACTAGTGGAATCACTTCAATTAGGCCACACCCCTTGGTTTTTCCCCTTTTTCAGGATTTTCATCCTTACAAGCATTTGGAGCTGTCCAATTGTAGTAATTTTTGATGTCTTCTATGAATGCTACACCCTACTCTTTATATGTATGTGTGTTAGATCTTCATATAAAATTATGATACTAAACTTTATTTCACTCTATCACAATGAATATTTCATGTCACAATAATAATGATAGTCCACTTGCTTGTATTCATTAAAAGAACTCAGTTTTTTTACAACTACTTATCATCGTTGTCATTTTCATCATCATTGTACATCATAATCATCATTCTAAAATATGCATTGATCGCCTTTTTTTGTAGCTCTTTTCAACATCAACCATACGATCTCCTCGATCTCCACTTGTGTGATCATAGTCGGCGGGCGATAGTAGTTGTAGGGACTGTAGTTGGCAGATGACATTGGTCGGTGTGACTTTAGTCTGCGGGTAATGGTGGTTGGAGGGTCTGTAGTCGGCGGGCGACAGTGGTAGAAGGTACCGTAGTCAGCAGACGGTGGTCAGCCTAATTGCAGTTGGCAGGTGATGGTGTTCGAAGGGACTGTAGTCAGCAGGCGAGGGTGATCAGTAAGATTACAGTCAGCAGTTGGATGGGCAGTGGCCTAACGACGGTTGGCGGATGAGCAATGGTCGATCGATGGTTGGCATAAAGACGGTGGTCTAGTGACGGTTGGCGGGGGAAACTGTTGATTGTTGGGAGGTGGTCCAGCGATGGTCAGCAGTAGGGCTGTGGTCTGGCTATGGTCGTCGGTCGAGCTCTGGTCTGGCGGCAGTCAACGATCAAGTTATAGTTTAACGATAGTCGACGAAAGTCTCTTGCAGTGGTGATGGGTAGAACACAAGGATCCTTGAAGCCTTAAAACTTTCTATAATCTCCAACCAAAAGGTCCACCTCATGTAGAAAGTGAATGGTCTATTTATAGATTTTGTGTGGCATGCTTTAATAATTTAGATAATATCCAGGGCAGATTGGGAGTGCTGCATCGGACGGCCTATATCAATTCCCTCAATCATAAAGCAATCATTCAATATTTAAATGTCTTAATCAGAAGTAAGAGATCTTGGGCTCGTTGGATTTGTCTCGTTGAGCCACTCAATTCTATTATAAGCATGCCAAATTTGTTAATCATTGGATCATTCAATTAATACTTTAAACTTTTTAAAAATATTTTGGTTTCTTGATTTGGACTCATTTGGGTTTGGATTAGACCGATTTTGGTGTCGTTGGGTTCGTCTCTTTAAAATGCTTAATTTAATTATAAACTTGCTGAAATTAGAGTTTGGATTGTCCCAATTTAAATTAGAAAAATATCAATTCATATATGTTTCAAGATTTGTGCCTGATCAAGACAAATTTTTTGTGACTTATCACATATGAAAAGGCCTTACATGTCTTCCCATTTTTAGTTGTATTCAAGAGAACCTCAACTATAAGAAGTTATCTCTTCTTTAAAGCTTCCCCTTTCAAGATCGAATGCTCCATAAATATCTTTATAGCATTATAATTCATATTATTTTAGAGATTATTATATATTACTTGTTCCTCACCCATATAGTTTCTTTGCAACTAGGCTTTCATTAGAGGATTTTCGATTTCATAGGTGCATGTGTGTGTGTGCTCCAAAAATTCCACACCCGGCCTCCCCACGCCTGCTCTTTTCTTTTTGTTTATGATGAAAGAGAGTTTTAATGAGATTATGTTCCATGTGAATTTTCAGAAGGCAGATTGTGTTTTAGAAAAGACACTACCAAGAGATTTTGCCCTCATTTATGAAGACTTTATGATCTAAGTTTAATTAGGTTTCCTATAGGCGCAATCCTCTATAGTTAATTACCACTTCTGATAACAAGAGATAACTTTCAATTAAGGCTAGTTGTTAAAGAGGTTAATTGCATAGGTTATAAATCCTATGTATAATAGTAATATATTTAGGGTTTGAATTTTGGATATAAATTATATAGTTTGAGACTTAAAGTTTATCACCATTAACTTAAAATAGGTGCTGGGAGAAATGAAGATGAGCTCGATCAGTATCCCATGGTCCGGTTGTCATGGTCCATGGTCTACTTAGTCAAAGGAGGTAGTTGATCCAACTTGATAAAGGTATAGTATCAGAAGTTATGGGTTGCTTTGTCCAAGAATGCCTTATAGACCTAGGGTAGTGTTAGTCTAAGGGGATAGATCTGAATCCATATTAGCTAAAATAGGGTTTTATACATATTAAATATACCTTATTATTCATTACTCAAGGGTTTGACTCAATTAGAGAACATACGTACTTTAATAATGATCTAAAATAATGGTGTCATTTTACCGCAAAATCATCCGATCAGAGGACACACGTCACATCCTTATTAGTAAGAGATTATTTGAGGATGAATCTTAGTGATACAACCGACATGACATTCGTTCTTTATGAGTTGAGATTAATTTGAAAATTATCACCCCGACAAAAAGTTGCGGGAGGTGGATGTGTTTTATTTTTAAGTTTTTTTAGGATAGATTTTTTATTTTAAGAATTCAAATTTTACTGGTTTTGAGATTTTAACCCCTTTGATTGATATTTAATATTAGCACTATCAATATCGAGGTAATGTTAAAGTCATTGTATTATTATAAGAATTTAGGAGGCATTTTGTAATTCAAGTGATGTCAATTCAAGTCCTTTTGAGGAAGAGGATGAGACTTGAGTATTTGGCTTGCGCAACATTCTAGAATCGTTGGATTTAGGAACTAGATGTGATGATCGAAGCACATACACGACATGCGTTCAAAGTGGGCGGGGTTCAAACTCTGCAGAGCACAGGCCATTTATTATCAAGATTGGCGGTGGAGAGATTAGGTATTCCTATCAGCACAGTTGCTTATTAATCCACATTCTCAGTAGGTGAGTGAGTGGTTGATATATATCGTTCTAAATTGGGAATTGAAATGGTTTAGGCATTGATATGTGGGTTGAATTGGATTTGTGTTCACTATGGTTTGAAGGGAAGAATAAAGGTATTCATTTTTTAATGCTTATGTAATTCGTTTAATGTTTATTTTATAAACGATATACATGCAACTATTTATAGGAAGAGGATGATGACGATGAAATCGAAATACCAATTCCTTGTACTTGAAAATGATTATCACGAGTAAAATTCCTGGTAAATGATAAATCAGATGTATTGTAATATTTTGTTTCAAGTTACTGTTAGTTAGTTTTCAAGTCATGAAAGGCAACAGTTTCACTTTTCAGTATGACTTTAGTATTACTCCTCCTTTGATGTTTTGGTGGAACATTCCTTCAGTATTCTCATGTGCTGTTCTTATTCGACAGCTCTGTGATTTATCCTGCTACGGCTTGACCGTGAAGTTATACCTACTTGATCTCTTTGAGTTTAAAAGGTTGGATTTCTTTTTCTGGGTTAATGATTGGTTTTTTATGGAGATGAGATTTTGCCCAGGTTTTTTTGTGGCTCAATTTCGTTGGGGCAATGATGTTGGGGTAGTATCCCTCTTTCCCCTTGGCCGATGATTTTTTGCAACCTTGTTCTTCTTGTGATGGTAGTTCTCGCAATCAGGGAAAGTTTTGATTGTTGCTACTCCTCTCTCCTGAGCCTTCGTTCTCTTGATAAAGTTATGAATTATGATGTTAGTTAAAATTGATATTAAACTTGTTATAAGTGTAGGCTTTTGGTGTTGATGATCCATTTATTGTTCATTGCTTATTCAAAGTTGATATGAAACTTGTTTTATGTGATTTGCATTTTGGCTAAATTTTATGGCTTTTTGGAAACAGTTAGTATGCACAAATAGATATGAAGTGAATAACCAAAGTGATTAGGTAAACCTCATTTATATTTACCTTTTTGGTATTTTTTCTACTATAAATTATCTTGTTTTATTTCTTCTTACCAAGGTTTCTAATTAGATATTATCAATTGCAGCTTTGCAGGTAGACGAAGAGGAACAAGACATGAGAAACTTATAATTTGATCGCACTATATAGTTTTAAGAGCTGTTTGAGGCATTATTTATGATTATGCTTTGAAAAATTTGTAATTTGAACTTACAATATTGACTATTTGAGATCTTTGTGGATTCATAACTTTCAAGTTATTATTTTTAGTTATATGATATCCTTATGGCTTTATATTAGATAATGTCTAAATGAGTGGTTGTTGTTGTTGTTGTTTTATATTAGATATTTTCTAAATGACAACATTATTATTTTTAAAGTAACTTATCATGCTCTTTTTTTATGGTGAATATTTAACTTGTCAATTCGAGCTTATAATCGAGCTTTCACTTGAGCCGAGCTCGAGCTCACAATTCGAGCTCGAGTTAATGAGACCAAAACGAGCCTGGAATCGGACAAACAAGTTGAGCTCAAGATCGAGTTCTTGACTCGAGTCGGGCTCGAGCTCAACCCGTCAGCACAGTTAACGAGCTAAGCTCGAACAGCCTTCGGCTCAAGCTAGACTCGACTCGTTTGCACCCCTAATGAGAGTAAATCGACAGTTACAAGTCAATAGTGTGAATAAAGCTTCATGTAAGATAATCATGCATGTAAGGTTAATAGTGGAGCTCTTTCTTTATGTAAGCATCGAAGTTCCTAAAAATTGGGAAATATTATGCCTTCTTTTATTTTGCATATTACGATAATGAATTTTGTCTTTTATAGCGGATCAAATTCTCTCTTCTCTAATATCAATTTTTCTTAATTTTCTTTAACCACCGAGATTTTTATTTAATTAAAATTGAATAATATAAATCTTGTTGTCAATATGCAATTCTTTTCTATTTTTATTCTTGACATATCATTATTAATCTTAATGATGATCATTATCATTATAAGAAGAATGTTAGGCGTTAATCAAAATAAACTTAAATTATTAAATAACGATTTAATAATTTTATCATTCAGCCACACATGATAAAGATTTTATTCATATTTATTTTATCATCTCAAACAAATTAAATCATCATATTTAAAAAAATAATAATAAAAATTATGAATCAACAATTTTAATGTTTCTTGTTTATTTTATCAAATCAATATGTAGCGTTACATTTCAGTAATTATATATGAAATATATACAACAACAACAACAACATCAAGCCTTATATATGAAATATATACAACAACAACAACATCAAGCCTTTATCCCACTATGTGGGGTCGGCTACATGAATCATTTTTCTCTATTGTTTCATATTAAAAGTTAAATTCTCGTTTAAATCTAATAAAGAAAGGTCATTCCTAATATTTTCTAACCAAGTCTTTTTAGGTCTACCCCTACCTTTTTAACATAAGTCAAATCTAATACCTCTACTCAAGTCACAATCCCCTCACTAGGTCTATTACTACTAAAATTACACTCTATATATTCCGTTTTAAATCTACTCTAGCGAAAACCTTTAGACTCTAAGGTTGACCTCCATAATTCAACTTTGCCTTCAACTCCCTCTCTAGTCTTATCAACAAGAAGAACTTCGGCATAATTCATTTAGATATGAAATATATAAATGAAAAAAAATTTAGTGTCGTAAAAATTACTCATTTTCTAGCTTTTATAATTAGCATTGCTTATTTTTTATTAAGCATTCACCTGATTTATGTCTTCTTTAGAATATTATAAGATGTTTTTTTATTGAAATATTCTTTGAGCTTATCCACTCCCCTACTGCATGCGTTCCACGTTGCCCATTGGGCCCAAATAAACACACGTGTCGATGCTGAGCATCATACTCTCCACGTGGCACCCAATATCCTAATTCTTTTATTTCTTTATCGACAATCGAATAACAAATTCCTTCTGCTTCAATCCTGTAACCAGAACCAGACATTGTTGATAGATGAAGAAGCTCTTCACTGTTCCTGGCCGGTCGTCTCCAGGCCTGGCGAAACTTGCACTGCCTCCATCCTTCCTTTCCGGCACAGCTTTAGCTCAAAGGGTAAGCTATTTACATAGTCAAATCCTTTTTTTTTTCCAAATATATTTTTGTGGTTGTTTGGCTTCCTATTTTAGGCAGGATTTAAGCTAAGATTTCCTTCAATCCTGCAGATAAGATTCTGTAGACTATATGCTATAATATTTTGTTAAATCTTATCTGTTAATTGAAGGATTTGTTTTCTCTCAACATTCAGTGTTCAACAGATCTAAGGATTTCTCCTCTCATAAATTGAGAGCTTAAAATTCATAGTTAGACTACTTATTAATCTTCTAAGCCCAAAATTTCTTAACTTACAGATCTGAAATCCTATGATAAATATTCAAATAATTTACAGATTTTGAATATCTTAAAATTTATTTAGTCTGAATTTGCAGATTTTACTTGATTCTTTTTGAGCGAAATCCTCCATCTGATCAAACAGCCCCTTTTGTTTCATAAAATTTTAATCAATATTTGTATTGATTCTTCAATAGCACAGTAGTGATATTATTAATTATTCTCAGTATTCAACACAAGATGATGACTCTCGGGAGATTGTGGACAAGGCGAGGTCTACAGCTGAGGAATTTCTTAGGCAAGCAAAGCAGAAGGCGGAGTCACTCAAGGAGGCTGCAAAGGATACAAAGGAATCTCTTGTTGGTGAGAGTAAAGCCGGTAAGGAGTATCTAAAAGAGAAAGTTGAGAAGGGAAAATCTGATCGTGATTGATATTTTTTTCTTATTTCCTGCAATTCCATATGAATAAAACTGTGTAGAACCAATCCTGCAACTTTGAAAACTGGTTAGATAATGAAGAAGCTTTAATTTTGGATTCAACTTCTTAAGTTGAAGCAAAAAATAATCATTTTTTGGGCATTTATCTCGATTTGAGAGAGGTACTGTTGTTGAAAGTAATGGTTGGTCAATCCATACGAACTAATTGCTGATTTCATTGATCAGTAAGATGCATGGGAACATCTGCTAGAAATAATTTTGCAAAAAAAAGGAAATATATGATTTACTTTTTTTTTCCTTCAAAAATTGCTTCTTTGAAGCTGAAAATTAGATGCGTTGTTAAAAATAACAGTAATTACCAATTACCCTTTGAATGGTTTTTTAGTCTTTACAAAACTTCAAGCTTGTTCTAATGACTCTCCTTAATGATCACTTTGACACACCCCACACTTGTAACTCCAAAGCATAGGTGCTCTCATGGAGCATTGGAATTGAATGCTTCAAAGGGCTTTAGTTACTGTAAATATTTTTTAACATACCTTAGGAATCTTAGGCTTGAGTTTGGAGAGATGGATTGGTGTAAAGATTGTCTTGGTTTGGCTAAGAAAGGTAAAACCTATTTGGCCAACATTACAGGAAATTCACTAAATATCTGTGGCTTTTCCGGAGGTCAAATAACCGCCGGCAATAAACCATTGACGGTCATACTGGCTTTTAACCGCCAGATTGTTTTATCTACGACATAGTTATCAGGAGGATTGTAATTACAAAGGCAGGAATCATTGGACTTGTAAACACTTTGATACGGTGGAAGTATGTTTAAATTCTTTTTTAGGGAGATGGGTTGAATTTTTCATGGTTTTTGGTTGGGTGGATGAAGTTAAAACTAAGAATAGGTATTTTAATCATTAATTGGACTATAATCATTTATCTTAGAATTTTTTACTTGTGATAAAACTTATAAAAAAATATTATAACAATCATTATATGACTTAAATAATGAATACATATCTATAACAAACATATAACAAAGCCAAAACATAAAATAATGTAGTAGTAATTATTGATGCATTAACAAATTCATAATATTATAAATCACATCACAATCATTATTAATGTGACATAAATAATTAATTATATTTAAAATCCTCTTGATATTTTCAAGAGGAGGAAACCATTCATTCAATTATGAAAGTGAAATCTAAAGTTCTTTAAGATCCATCTACTTCATAAGTCCGGTTTGATTCTGCACCAATTCACTTATTCTGAATTATTGAAGTTTCCTTTATGTTTCTATAGGTTCCATTGAAAGAATCTTTAAATCTATTTATGGTCCAAATGAACTTTTCAAAAAGTTGCATAATCACTTTATAAAGCTTATCTTATTTTCTTGAAGTGCCCTACCACTTGTGATGGTGCGTTGGAGCTAAATAATTCCTAGAACTTGTGGTTAGTGTAGATGTTTTCTAATATACCTTTGGTCCCCTCAGTTTTCGTTTGGAAAGATGAGTTGGTGCAAGATTGGTGAGGGGTTGTTAATGATTGTAAACCTATAGCATTTTGGAGATGGTAGGGATTATAAATGGAATTGAAAACACTTGGAGATAGAGGAATTATCTAGAGTATGTTGGAACTTTTCAAAGGTTTTTAGTTTGGTTGAAGCCAAAAATAAGAGTATGTCCTTTAAGGTTTTGTTTGGGTCAGCTTTCTTAATGCTTTTTAAAGTAATTTTTTAATACAGAAATTTCTAACTTAAGAAATAGAAAGTTGCTTTAGAAAACAGTAAAAAAACAGTCCCAAAGAAAGTATAAATCTAATCTTTGTTTGGGACGGCTGTTTTATTGCTTCTTAAAGCAGCTTTCTAGTACAAAAATTATAATTTTTGGTACTAAAAAATTGTTTTAAGAAGCAGTTAGAAAGTTATCCCAAATGAACCCTTAATCTTGACTGATAGATAGCATAAAGGATGACTTTGAACAAGTTGGGTTTCCAAATAGAAACGGCCATGGGATTTGAAATTACTTGGAGATTATCAAGGAATGCTTTTAGATCATATGTAGAATTTTTCAAGAGATTTTAATGGGTCAAAAGACAGCAGAACTGACAATATTATCTTAACCTATTGTAAGAAAACCCTGATAAATAAGGCATAGCCTCCATTTGTTCAAATGTCAAGGTAGGAATCCACCATGAGAAGTGATGGGAAATGTAGGGAGATATTAGGGTTTAGTTTATTATAAACTTATAGAAGAAAATGAGAACATATAAAAATAATGTTCTAAGCAAAGAAAAGCATCTCAACCACTATGCCAAAAAGAAAAAAATTAGTTCACCAACAACTTATTTAATTCATTCAAATCATCATTAAAGGCACAACATATAATTACATGTTTCTATGAACATTATACTTGATTTTTTAAAATTTTTGCATGGAGGAGATAGTTTCTTAAAGTCTACAGTGGAGTGATTGGAGTGATATGGCATGGCCACTTCCTTCTTCCATGGCCAGTGGGGTCATATGGCTTCATTACTTGACAAAGATGTGTCCCCTTTGAAATCCTTGGAGATAAGTTCTAGAAGCCTTCATTTTATTATTGCTCATAATTAAGGTCAAATAAAGAAGCTTTATTATTACGTGCGGAGTCAGAGTCAGAATCAGAATGTAAGATGTGTCCGGATTTTATGATGATATACAATAAATACTATGTATTTATTATGTATTTGTTGCTGAACTATGTACAATAATTTCTCCTCCAAAGCATTAAAATTTGTACTTATTTTCTTTCACAATGTGATAACTTCATGCAGCCTTGTTGTGATAAGTCTTCATTTATTATTATTATTATTATTATTATTTACTTGGGTTACTTCTAAAATAGGATAAAATTTGTATTATATTTTAAGGGCCAAATATCATATATATAGAAGTACTAAAAAAATATGATTATAAAATAAAAAAAATATTAAATATAAATTGGAAATATAATTAAACATGAAAATAAAAAAATTAAGAAACAATTAATCCAGTTAAATATATTGAATACTAGACAAAAAACATTAAACTATAAAAATAAGAATTTATTAATGGACATAAAAATTACAAATTAAGAGCTATGGGTGGGTAAAAAATAATATACAAAATAATAAATGTGCTGATGTGTTAACATTTATCCCATTAACATATTGCAGAATGAAGGAAAAAAATGTTAATAAAATATTAATCTGGCATTGATCTTTTCAGTTATTCAGTATAGTGGACTATCTTTTACAGGCTACGGCTAGTTTGGGCTGGGCCTTAACATTTTCAAGCCATTTAGCCAAGCCCGGTAAAGCTAAGACCGATCAATTGATGGAGTAAGAGCTTGTTGATCTTACATTATTTTTTGGGCCCGGCCTAACTAATGGGTAAATTATATAGACAAGCAAATCATTCTCAATAAAAATAAATTTTAATAAAAATAAAAAATAACAAAGATTAAATAAGTCAGCATATTCTTTATCAAACAAAATTTTACACCAAAAATGTGATTTTAAATACATAAAATGTTTTTTTAAGGGCTGATGTTTTATACATAGTTTGATAACTTGGGCTTTAAGGCCCACTATAGCGTGCTCTATTGAAGCAGTTGTGGGAGCTCAAAATCTCAGTCAGAAGATGTAAAAGAATAAAAATATTCAAAATGCTATTTTTCATTTCTTATTTATAGAGATCCAAAGGTTATGAAAGAATACATAAAAATAATAAAAAAATATATTGACTTCAATAACTTTCAGTGCAGACCATCTTGGAGATGTATTGTCCTATAATTGGTTGAAAGGAGTTGCACTAAATGGCTCTTGGGTGATTCGGTTCTACCAAGTAGGTTTAGGCGAGTGTTGGGTGAGTTCATATGCTAGTGATGCAAGGTAGGGACTTATGTCTGCTAGGCTAGTTGGATTGTCGATGAATTGTGCTAAAGCTTTGGTTTTCCCTTACAAGAGAGGGACGAGTGGGTTGTTATTAGAGGAGTGGTTTAAATCGGACAATCACATTACGATAAGACGGGGACCTCATGAGACGGTGCTTTACTGAAGTCGCGTGGGATAGTATAAGCGGGGATACCCACTATAGAGGAGGATGAGTGATCATAGTGATTGTCTTTGTATATGGCGGGTGGCAAGTTGTGCGCTTTGTGAAGAACCTTTTTGGTCCCTTGTGGATAAGAACTCCCTTCATGTTGATTAGCATTTTGTAATCATTTGGCTAAGCTCTTTTGTGTGTTCCAAGTAAACATTTTTTAGTGTTCATCGAGCAAGTTTACTGGTGGGCCCCACCAGTGTCAAGTTACTTCGTCGCAACCCACCATCTAACTATTAAACACCTAAAAAAAGTATTTGCGAGTGTACAATACTGGAGTTATCTTTGATTTTAAACTCATAAATCCATTCAAAATTTTCTCAAAATGTAATAATTTTATTTTTCTCATATAAAATTTATTAGAATCACAAAAAATATCATATGATCAACTACAAATTTACCGTAAAGCATTGATTTCAAAGCATTTAAAGCTATTGCAATATCAAAACTTATTATTAATATTATTAATATCATTATTTTCTCAAAATTATAGCACTATATTTTCAATTCAGGAAGGATTTATCATTTATATGCATTTTAATTATATATATATATATATATATAAAGATTTATCTTGAAATAATTAAATATTAGCTGCTATAGTTATAGGTACGATGTTTTTTTTGGGACATTTAGGCCATTTAAGGCAAACTCACACACACAACGCATAC